ATCGATGGCGGGTGTTGTCGCGTGGACCAGGCCAACAGGAGGAGGGCCGGGGGGTGGGCGGGGGGGTGGCTGCGCGGAGCGCCCTCGCCACGAGATGAACGCCGCCGACGCCGCACCCCGACACCCCAAAACACGCCGGGAAGGGGGCGCGGTGCCGCTCACGACCGACCCCACACCCAATCGCATCCGGGTCCCCACCTCGCCTCCCTCTCGGGGACCCCCCTCGAAGACACTCTACAGACCTGGACTGCCGCGCCGTAGGCCACGGCCTCGTCGGGGTTGACGCCCTTGTTGGGCTCCTTGCCATTGAAGTAGTCCTTGATCATGGACTGGACCTTGGGGATGCGGGTGGAGCCGCCCACCAGCACGATCTCGTCGATGTCCTCCTTCTTCAGGCCTGCGTCCTCCAGCGCCTTGCGCACCGGTCCCATGGTCTTCTTGAACAGGTCGGCGTTCAGCTCCTCGAAGCGTGCGCGCGTCAGGGGCTCTGCGAGGATGTGGTGTGGGCAGGGGGGCCTTGTGAGAGAGGGGAGGAGAGGGGGTGGAGCAGATGGGGCGAGGGGGTGGGGGTGAGCGTCGACTGACGGTGGGGGAGTGGAAGCCGATACGGCGCTGGTCTGGACCGATGGCTGGATGCACAACAGGTTGAGGGGCCAGTATCGCTGTGCTGAAACAACCCCCCTGGTCCCTTGCTGCACGCGAGCCAGATGCGGGTCGACTCCTGCCACACGGTCCGCACTCCACGGACGCCCCCACTGCGCCGCACCATGAAGACACTCGTGTCATCCCCTGGCTGCCAGGTTTCCTCGACACCGCCCCCCCCCCGCCGCACCGCACAACGCACCCGACAGGTCGACGCCGTCCACCAGGCTCTCGATCTCCACGCGGACCTGATGCTGGGAGGAAAGCGCACGCTTGGCGCGCTCCGCCTCGCGCCTCAGCTTCTGCAGCGCGCGGCTGTCCCCCGACACGTCCTTCTTGTACTTGCGCTTGATCAGCTTGATGAAGTACTCCATGACGCGCTGGTCAAAGTCCTCGCCGCCCAGGTGGGTGTCGCCCGATGTGCTCAGCACCTCAAACACGCCGCCGTCGATGGTCAGGATGGACACGTCAAAGGTGCCGCCGCCCAGGTCGAACACCAGGATGTTCTGCTCCTTGGACTTCTTGTCCAGCCCGTACGCGATGGCAGCGGCGGTGGGTTCGTTGATGATGCGCTCCACGGTCAGCCCCGCGATCACGCCCGCATCCTTGGTCGCTTGGCGCTGCGCATCGTTGAAGTAGGCGGGGACGGTGACCACGGCGCGGGAGACGGGCCGGCCCAGGTACCCCTCCGCCGTCTCCTTCATCTTGGTCAGGATCATGGCGCTGATCTCCTCCGCGGAGAAGGACTTGGGGCCGTCAGGCAGGTCCACGGAGATGTGGGGCTTGGAGGCCTTGTCCACCACATCAAAGGACACCAGCTTGGCGTCGCGCTGCACCTCGCGGTCGCTAAACCTGGGGGGGTCAAAGGCGGGCGGGGAAAGGTGGGGCGAGGGTGGGGGTGGAGGGTGTGGGAGTTGTCAAGGGGTAATTCTTCCATTTCTTCGTTCGGGAGAGAATAGGAGGGGGGGCCTGGAGTGGGGTTCCAGGCATGGACAGCGCAGAAGGGGAGCCATTCAACAGGAAAGGGCCTCACAGGGACCCTCCTCCCTCCAAACACGAAATCAACAGACTGACTTGCGGCCGATCAGGCGCTTGACGTCGTAGATGGTGCGCTTGGGGTTGACGGTGGCCTGGTTCTTGGCCGCATCTCCCACCAGGCGCTCGGTGTCGGTGAAGGCGACGTAGGAGGGGGTGATGCGGTTGCCCTGGTCGTTAGCGATGATCTCCACCTTGCCGTTCTTGTACACACCCACACACGAGTAGGTGGTACCCAGGTCGATACCGATTACGGGGCCCTCCTTCTTCTTCTCCTCTTTCTTCTCCTCCTTTGCCTTGCCCAGGGCGGGGTTCAGGCACAGCGCCAACACTGCGGGGTGGTTGCGGGGTGGGGTGCGATCAGCGCGTCGGTGCCTCCCCGGCGCAGGCAGTCAGTGCGGCAGCATCAGAAAACATGTCCAAAGGGCTCACATGCGAGCGCGAGAGCGCCGCGGTACTGCATCGTGGCTCGAGGGCCTCGGATCTGGCGCACACAGGAGGGGGGCAACAGGTGATGGCTGCGGCTTCACCAAGCCGATTCGCAAACGGGTTTCCTCCGGGGTGTTAGCCTGGGCGAATAATGCAGCACCGTTCTGGAGTTGCGTACTGGGAGTCTGAGCCCGCGGGGGACGGGTAAGAGGGCAGGAGGAGGAACCTTCGCGGCGTTTGAGTGAGTCACGGTGGAAAGAGCGCCCAAACACCTGTCCCCCACTTCGAACCGGACATGTGGTGCCACACCGTGCTGCAGCGATCGGATACGCAATTGAAGCAACAACAAGAGATCCATCCGAGCCTGACGAACATGGGGAGGGTGCGGTGGACCGCCGTTCTCTTGCTCTTCTGCGCGATCACGGCCGGCTGGCAGGGTGAGGATGGGTGCGCATGTGCCTCGCGAGGCGATTTGAGTATGCCATGCTATGTACAACGTGCTCACATCAATGATTTTGTTTATTGCAGGGTGCCATGCCGAGGATGACGCCACTCCAGCTAGGTGAGTGCTCCCATCTGGAGCCGGGGGGAAGGAGTCGCACCCCGCCACTGTGTCCCGTTTGATGGAGTTACTTTGGTGGCTTACTGACTTACACTGGCTCTCACCATTGCAGCAACGCGACCGAGGCCGTCGCTCCGGTGCACGCCTTCCGCAAGGGCGCCGAGACCATGCAGTTCCAGGTGGGTGGCAAGAACAGGGAGCCGGGGGTTATTCCTCAATGCTAGCCATGCAAATTGCCTCGGCGGGCAAGTCGTCGGCGCTGCGGTGAACGCACAGATCAGACACAGCCGGATGGGTGGAACAGGAGCTGCGTTTGGGTACCCGCCATTCACACCCTGCGCAGCTCTTGAAACAAGCGCCATGCATTCTACAAATATGCCAGCAGCCTTCCTCCAGGGTCCTCCCATTGGTGCCTGCCCATACGATGCATCACCTCCCCACCCTTCCCCCCCGCCTCACCCCCCCAAAATCACACTCACTCCCAGGCCGAGGTGAACAGGCTGATGGACATCCTGATCAACTCCCTGTACTCCAACAAGGACATCTTCCTGCGCGAGCTCATTTCCAACGCTGCCGACGCGCTGGACAAGATCCGCTTCCTGGCTCTGACCGACAAGTCCCAGCTGGGTGACACCGAGGAGTCCCAGGCCCTGGGCATCCGCATCTGGGTGGACGAGGAGAGGCGCGTGCTGTCCATCCGCGACTCCGGCGTGGGCATGACGCGCCAGGACCTGGTGAACAACCTGGGCACCGTGGCGCGCTCCGGCACCTCGGCCTTCCTAGAGCAGGCCCAGCGCGGCGGCGACCTCTCCCTCATCGGCCAGTTTGGTGTCGGCTTCTACTCCGTCTACCTCGTCGCCGACTACGTGGAGGTGGTGACCAAGCACAACAACGACAGCCAGTGGGTGTGGGAGAGCCGCGCCTCGGGCGACTACGCGCTGTCGGCCGACGAAGACGGGCCGCAGCTGGGCCGCGGCACGCAGATCAACATCCACCTCAAGCCCGCCTGCGAGGAGTACGCGCGCCCGGACAAGCTGCGCGAGCTGGTCCAGCGCTACTCCGAGTTCATCTCCTTCCCCATCAGCCTTCAGGTGGAGAAAACCGTTACCAAGGAGGTGAGGTGGGGGGGGGAGGGGGAGTGGGGTCTGGAAGTGGAGGGAATCTGCCCATCGACAGGACGGGCCCGCGGCAGCAGCGCATGCTGTGGCACCCTCGCAAGCTCAAAACGGCTCACGCCCTCGTGCCTTGCCCCCCACGCTGCCAGGTGCCGCTGGATGATGACTCCCCTGCTCCTGACAGCAAGGACGCCGACGACAAGGATGCCGACGTCGTGGACGAAGGTGGGCTGGGTGGGGGCCTGCGCACAGTGTGTGAGGAAGTCGGGCCACGGGCAAGGTACCTGGGCGCTGGGAGCCTGGGTCGGCAAGGAGCGTCTGTGAGGGTACCGCATGCCGGCCCTCGCCGCAGCCTTTCAGCCGAGCAGAGGGGACGGTTGGGCATGTGCCTGATCCTGAGCTTCTCTCTCCCAGCCTGAAAGCCCCGCACCCCATAAACTCACCCCCACCCCCCCAACCCCCGCGCTGCAGACGAGGAGGAGGCCAAGGAGAAGACGAAGACCGTCACTGAAAAGGTCAAGGAGTGGGAGGTGCTGAACGATGCGCAGGCGCTCTGGCTCCGCGCCCCGGGCGACGTCACCGACGAGGACTACGACAAGTTCTTCCAGGTCCTCAGCAAGGTGGGCGACGCGGGTGTGGGGTGGGGGATGGGTGTGGAGCGTGTGCGGCTTGGGTGGCGCTGGCAGGGGCCCCTGGCGCCTTGGCACGCAGGAGATCTCACCTCGGCGACTTGTCGCTGCCCGCCTCGTTCCATGCCCAACTCGACCCAGCCCCAGCCCCCGCCGACACGTCGCCCGCCCGCCCCGACCCGCAGGGCCAGTCCAATCCGCTGGCGCACACCCACTTCCGCGCCGAGGGCGACGTCGAGTTCAAGGCCATCCTGTACGTGCCCCGCACGCCGCCACCTGGTGAGGCTCCCTGCTGCGGGGCTGGGAGGGGTCGTTTGGGGGGTACCATGGGGGTGTGGGGGTTGAGGCAGGGAAAGGGAACGCAGGGCGGCCAGAGTATGCGTGGAGAGCATGCGTGCTGCTCGATGCCCGGCCAGCCCCAGGGTGCCGTCCTCGTCACGACCGGCCCCTCGCACGACCACGTCCCCACCCCGCCCCCTCCGGCGCAGACATGTACCAGGACTACTACAGCCGCAAGCCGAGCCTGAAGCTGTACGTGCGCCGCGTCTTCATCTCCGACACCTTCGAGGACCTGCTGCCCAAGTGCGCGCGGGGTCCTGCCCGCACATGTGTTGTCGAGTCTCTACCTTTGTGTGCGCGGAATCAAGCTGGGTGCAGGTCCTGGTTCCCCGACCGGGTGCCGTAGGCGGCCGCGTGCCGTGTCGCAGTCCGTCCCCGATGAGGTTATCTCTGAAGCCCCCGCCGTAATCCCATACCCTCCCCCCCCCTACCACACCCGCAGGTGGCTCAGCTTCCTGGTGGGCCTGGTGGACTCCGACTCCATGCCGCTCAACGTCTCGCGCGAGATGCTGCAGCTGCACGAGGGTGAGCGGGCTGCCTCCAGTCGGTTCCCGTGGATGTGGAGAGGATGTGTGGCGTGGAGGGCGCTTGCCCCTTGCGCGCCAATCTCGATCCAATCCAGCCGGGCCCCTGTTCCCACCCAGCCCTGGACCCCGTTCCCCTACTCCACACCCTTCTCCTGAGGAGCCACCCCCCACCAAAGCATGCCGCAGGCCTCAAGGTGATCAAGAAGAAGCTGGTGCGCAAGGCACTGGACATGATCCGGCGCCTGTCCGACGACGAGCGCTCTGCGGTGAAGGAGCTGGCGGAGCTTGGCCCCGCGCCCGAGGACGAGGGCGAGGCGGCGGCGGCGCGGCGCGCGGAGCTGACGGCGGCGCGCGACAAGTACCCCGCCTTCTGGAAGGCCTTCCACAAGGCGGTGAAGATGGGGGTGATCGAGGAGAAGGCGCACCGCAAGCGCATGCTGCCCCTGCTCCGCTTCCCCACCTCGTCCTCCAACGGCTCCGACACCACGCTGGACGAGTACCTGGCGCGCATGAAGGAGGGGCAGAAGCACATCTACTACCACATTGGTGAGTTTTGGGGGGGGGAGGGGTATGGGGGGGGAAGGGGCGAGGTTTAATTGTCGTAGGGGCAGTAACTGGGAGGAGGGAGGGCGGGGGGCGGGGGCCGACGGGCACGCGGCAGACTTCTCGCCCTCGCACCTCCTCCCATGCTTACTTTGCCGCCTCTCCCCACTCCTACAAGCTCCTCGCAATCCCCAGTTCCCCAGCTCCCCCTTGTTGACAATGCACCCCCCAACTCACTCCCAGGCATGTCCAAGGAGGAGGTGGAGAAGTCGCCGTTTGTGGAGACGCTGGTGGCGCGCGGGTACGAGGTGGTCTACCTCTCCGACCCGCTGGACGAGTACATGATGGGGCACCTGAACGAGTACGACGGCCACGACTTTGTCAACGTGGCCAAGGACGACCTGCGCCTGCCGGAGGACGCCGACGCGAAGGAGGCGGAGAAGAAGGTCAAG